GCGGTCCCTGGGCTTCGCTAAGCTTGTTCCGAGTAGGTGCTTTAGACCACTGAGCCATCTCACCAGCCCCCGCTTTTTCTTTTTAAACTAGGAATTGAACTCAGGATTTTGTACTTACCTGGAAGGCTCTGTGCTCTGCTGAACTATCCCTGGCTCAGAATCTTACCTTTAGGAAATTCCCCAGATAGTTTTGATAGTCCCTGGTAGCTACCTGCATTTATATTTTTTTAGAGAGGAATTGCTTTCATTTCCTTTAGAACTTTGTATTTCAGCAGCAGCACTGTTGCCATTTTGGGCTAGATGGTTCTTTCTTGCACTCCTGGCAAATTTAGAACATTCAGCAGCAACTTTGGCCTCAACTACTAGACACCAGCATTGTCCCATCAGTTGTGATAATCATAAATGTCCCCAGACATTGCCAGAAGACTCCATAGAGGGCAACCCCCTCCCCCCACCCTCCATGAGAACTGCTGTATCAGAATGAGGGACTTCCAAAAGAAAGCCAGGCATTACACTGTTGGTATTTAGTAATGGGCTTCTACACATTTCAATTTTCCTGGAATGCTGCATTCCTGTGGACTAGGAAAAAGATATTTTTACCCTCTTTTTACATTTCTAGTAAGTTTGTACTTTTATAGCACTTGTCAAAACTTGTAATTAAATAATTACATACCTGGGTAATACTTCTTAATAGCCAGACTCGTAACTCTTTGAAGGCATGGACAATGTGTCTTTTGTTTACTTTTCGTAAATTTTGTAATTTTTTTTTAATGGGAAGTAGCTCAGGGCTTTACTTAAACATCTCATTTAATCTTCACAACCATTATAGTTAACCCCATGCTAACATAAAGAAACTGAGACAGGTTAAGAAACTTGCCCTAGACTCTGTGTCAGTCCAAGTCTGTCAAACTCCAGAGTATGCGTTTGTTACTATTGGGATAAATTCCCAAATTTATTCTGAACCTATAACTTGTAAGCTGCTTTTTAAGAATATTTGAGTATGTTCTTGTGTTTGTTTCATGATAGCTGATGATTGGTATGTATTGCAGATTTTGAAGAATGTGGAATCTTCCCGAAATGTTCAGCCACATTTTCTAGAATTTTTGCTCTCCCTCGGCTGGTCAGTTGATGTGGGCAGACACCCTGGTTGGACTGGCCATGTTTCCACCAGTTGGTCAATTAATAGTTGCAATGATGGCGAAGGGCCTGATCAAGGTAAACTCATAATGGCCATTTTCGTTGCACTTGATTTTTCTCCCTTTACTATGAATTTGTTGTCATTTTAAAAAGCAAACAAAGTTATATAAAGGAAAAATCTCTTAGTTCCAGTCCTCACAGATGTGGGTCACTTAATAGTTTGTATATTTTCTGTTCCTTTTTCTGTTTTTGTACACATATATACATATGTATGTGTGTGTGTGTGTATACACACATATATGGTATAATAGGGTCGATTAATATAAAATTAGTAATTTTTTTATTATTATACTAGAGAAGTTCCTTTTATAATGTAACTAAAGAAATTGTTTTCTATAAAAATTAATTCTTGATTATAACAAGCATTACAGTTTCCTAACAAATGAGTTTTGTCTAATAAATATGTATTATTAACAAGTATAGGGGGCCGGGGAGATGGCTCAGTGGAGTAAGTGCTTCCCTGGCAAGCGCAAGGACCCGAGTTCAATCCCCGGTTCCGCCAAAAAAAAAAAGTATATTTCATAGACTGTGGCTATCAAAAAGTCAGTTAAAAGTTATATCCTTGGGACATTATATGAAAAACTTTGTAGTGAAGTAGTGTAGAATTGCCTATTTCAGAGATTTTTTCCCATCTCTACAAATCCTGAGAAACTATAATCAGGATTAGAACAGTATAAATTTAAACTTGAGCTCTTTGTTCCACCTAACTGAATGCATTTTGTTCCTAGGCTCTTGTAGTTACTGAAAAGTTACCTCTCTAAAGTTGGTGAAGCCTATGTCCAGTGTTTTCAATTTTCAGAGTTATCGTGTCAACAAGATTATACCATTAAAATACCCGTGCAACTTGATATATAGTTGCTTGTAACTTTGGCTAAAATGGAAGAAAAATGGGGATATACTATAATTTTAGTTTGTGCATACTCTTCAGTGTGTGGTTAAGTATAGCTATATACTGAATTCCCAAAAGTAGGATTAAAAAATGTACACAATTTTCATTTTATAAATATGTCACTTGGGTGTTCATGGTTGTGGTAATCTGGCTTAAATTTTGAAGGATATTTATTGCCTCATAGAAATGAAAATTCCAGCGATTGGTTTTCAATATCATGTGATGAACATTCATATATTTCTGTGTAATTTTCCTTTAGCTCATTTTTTCAGGTCTTAGTTTTCTATGAGCCTAGCTACTTTCATAGTACTGCAAGGCAGCTCCAGGCTTTCCATGTAGACTACACAATAGCCTGAAAACTAGAGATGAGCTGAGTTTCAGAATTCTATTGGTCCCCAATTCCTCAGTTTGCACAGTGGTTAGAATACCCCAGAACAGTCCTAGATAAGACTGTGGTAGAGAAATATAGACCAGGAAGAGTTATTATTTAGGATCAATCCCACCCACACTTCACGCCTCACACAGGGTAGGGGCAGGTAGTATGGGTTTCAGGACAGGAATGTTAGTGTCCACTGCAAAGCTAGAGTCCCTGTCCAGAGTCTATAAGCTGTAGGCCAGCCCATACCTATTTTTTTAAGTACAGTGTTGTTAATATTTGGCAACACTCTCATTTATGTACTATGGCAGTTTTCATTCTATAGTGGCAGAATGAAGTAGTTCTGGCAGAGATGATATGGCCCACAAAGCATAAAGTGTTTACTGTGTGGTCCTTTATAGAAAAAGTCTGCTAACTGATAGGTTTTGATGGTGTCGCAGCAGAGAAACAGGCAGAAGGAAAAAGGAAAAGGGGCCTCATTATCTTAGAGGACACAGAGAATTTGGGAAGATAAGAAATTCTCTTGATTGGAACAAAGGGAGGCTGAGGCTTTTATGGCCTGTTGCCAGGGGTGGGGTTTGAGGGGGATGTTTAGATACATCTGAGGAGCTGACTGGGGCCTTCCCTGAGGTGGTGGGAAAGGTGAAAGGAAACTGCATCCTGGGCTGAGTTGGAGAAGAAGGGGGAGGTGGTCTCTGGGAAGATAAGCTATTGTTTTAAGGGCTTCAGCCATATTAGATGACCACCATAATAATCCAGCAATTACTAGGGCCATAACTTACCACTAACTTCTGGTCATAATTTGTTTGCCATGTCTTCA